TACCATTAAACAAGTGGAGGAGATTTCTTTTATTGATATTTTAACATTTCTTTATTCGAAGAGAATTTCTCAGTCAGTCATTGACTACAGAAGGTCCCCTTTTTCCTTTTACAAAGAAAATCATGAGGCTTATACTGTTCTAAAACAAAAAGGGTTTCAGACCTTCACAGAATTACTAAATTTTTGCACTGTGATGTTACTGAAGACTTGGTGCAGAAAGTTAATCCAAAAATTCAAGAAAACAGAAGTTTTACGATTTTGTCATCTAAAACAAAAGGTGTGGCAAGCTCAGTAAGGGGATTGTTTTGACAATGCCCATCCACACGTGGCTCAATGAACCAGAAACCTTATCCCATCATATGGCTGGGAACAACTTGATCACCCTCCATATAGCCCTGATCTGGCACCTAGTGACCACCACTTGAAAAAGCATCTATGCAGTCAGTGCTATGACAATGGTGATGGTGTCAAAACGGTTATGCTGCAGTGGTTGGCAAATCAGGCGGCAGGTTTCTATGAGGATGGAATTCAGAAGCTGGTTGTACGATATGAAAAATGCTTTAATATTAAGAAATTATGTTGAAAAGTAGATTAAGGTAAAGGCTTTCTTTCATGTAAGGATAAAATTATAAAAAAAATTGCAGTTGTGTTTTTTTAATATCAAAACGGTACTTACTTAAAAAACACACCTCATAAAATATTATGCCAAGAAGGTTTCTGATTGTGTGATTAAAACTGACAATGTTGAGTTCAGCAAGTTTTGGATCAATACAAGAACTCAAAGATGCCTTCTGTTATTTTATTTCTAATGGTAACTTTTTTAAACAATTACTATCTAAAATGAATTCAACTAGTTGAGTTATCCAGTTGTCATAACCTTAACATTGTAATGTGCCCATTATAAACTTTTTATATATAGAAAGGTACATATTTTTAATATCCAGGCTCAACATTTTAAGGTTTTCAATAAAGATTTCAGAAAGCTTAATATTAGTAAACATGTCAGTATTTTTAATGCTATTGATAGATTAAAAAGGCTAATTTATTTTTGAGGAATTTTTTTGTTATAGTACATAGAATTTTATATCAACTAAAGGACAATAAGTTTCATGGGTTTTAACTCTGATGCTGAGCCTGGATATTCTCAAATTATAATCAAGTATGTTATTAAATTTGATGACATTAATTTTATTAGAGAAAATTGTTTAAAAATGCTAAGTTTTCACATATATGCAATGTGGAATCTTCTTTTAATATACAATATTGTGTTGATGAGATAAGATCATATTTTGCTTTTTCATAGGTTGGTACTAATGCTAACTTATTATTTATTAAAAATTTATTGAGTAAGTTGACTATGAAATTTTTTTTGGTTAATCTTGTGGTTATTTTTCATTGTATTATATTCTATAATATGTTTAAGTTTTGTCCTTAACTGTTCTTTTTGATCAAACAGTATTGTACTTATTATTATAGCAATAGAAAATATATATATGTGATAGAAAATATATATGTATAGAAAATATATGTGATAGAAAATAAAGTCTATTCTCTTCATCATGTGTTCCTGTATGATAAGTTCTACACAACAATTTTGTGCTTTTTCTTCAACTTTGTTTCAATAGATTAAATAGTTAAAATTGAAGACAGTCACCTTTTATTCACTTTCATGTTCTAGAATGCATTCCATGATGAGCTGACCTTTCTTTTTTAGGCTACTTAACCAAGTAGCCTAAAAAGAAAAGTCAGCTTATCAAAAGTTTTAAAAATTCCCTTAAAACATGGAAAACATATATCCATTTAAAAATAAAACACTTTTAAAAACTGAAGGAGAGAGAAAGACATCATCTTTCTCTCTCCTTCATTCATATTGTATTGGAATTTTACTGTTGCTTGATCTTTTTATACATTGAGAGAAGCACTGCTAATATATAAAATCTTCAATTTTGTAAATCTTGAAATCTACAAGGCACTGACCCCAGACAGTGAATCTATCCTTTTATACACTCAGTGTATAAAAAGATTCCAGTATAAAGTAACAGTGTGATTGTAATGCCATATTGATGGAAAGACAATTGTTTGTCTCCAATTTGATTTTTAAAAAAGTATTTTACTTTTACATGTTTTAAGGGAATTTTACAAATTTTTGATGACAAAATACCTTAAAAAGGTCAGGTTGTCAAAGAATGTATTCCAGAACATGAAAGTGAAAAAAAGGTGACTGTTTTGATAAATGATTAAATATGAAGATAAAGTCTAATATGAAACTTTTGTAAACTTCATCCATCAAGTTTACAAAATTGAGAAAACAAGCTTTGCAACTGACTAGACAATTTTTACAATCAGAAAAAAAATCTTCAATAATAATAATTTAAATTCTTACAGATGTTTATCCAAAGAAAACAATGAATATTATTACTTAAAAACTAAAAATCATATCTAAATTAAGTTTGTTTTAAATAACTTTAAGCACAACAAAACATTTTATTTTAAGTTATTTTAAATGTGTTAGCATGTTAACAGAAGAGCATCAAATATTTGTTATTGAACTGTTAATATGTTAAAATCAAAATCAGACTCCACAGATTAAGTATCTGAAAACATAGTCAGGTAATCAATATTAGATGATAGATATTCATATTTGAAATATAATTTATCTATTAAAAAAAGAATAGCAAATATTTTAAATAAATAAAACAAATTTAAAATACATGAAAAGAAAATTAGGTAAACACAAATCACTATATAATGTTTTTAAAAATACAGTAGAGCCTCGAAAACTCGGCACTTGATAACCCTGCACTCTGGATAACTCGGCCACACCTTGGCAGGGCAAAAAAAATCGTTAGTTAATTTTCATTATAGACAGCTTTATACCTCAAAGTATTTTTCTGAGGTCTGTCTTATCAGGTAAATTACTGTACACAGTGTATTCATTAATTTTCATTTTCATGTAGTAAAGGCTCTATGCCTTCATGAAGGACATACTTTTCCTTTGTTTAAGAGTATTTGGGCAGTTTATTCTCTGTTGTATTCTCAAGCAAACAATACATACAAGTACAATACAATATTTTCTAAGGAAACACGCATATTTATCCTTTTTTAACCCCATTCCCGATAACCTGGCATTTTCACAAACTCGGCCACCCTTCGGTCCACATTAGGCCGAGTTTTCGAGGCTCTACTGTATTAATTTTGTCTTGAAAGACTGATTTTTAAATTGTAATGCTTGAAAAAAGTTAACTGAGATTTGTTGTTGTTTAGCTTCATTTCATAAAAAAGCAAAAAATTTTCACTAGAGTTTCTTTAATATTACTAAATATTCCTATATTTATGGTAGCTCTGCTAAATTGCTATAGATTTTCTTTAAATAAAATATCTACTGTATATTGGATAACTGAAAAAAGAGAGAATTAATTATCAATAAAATTATAATTATTACCACTTATGACTGTAAAATTTTTTGAATTGGCAAACACACAAAGTCTGAGTTTATTATTATTTTTTCTTCATAATTTATTGGAAACAGTGTTCAATAACAGTATCTTAATGATATTAAAAAATCAAAAAATTTTATAATTTGTATAAGTTATTTTATCAAATCTGTGAAAGCCAAACTTGATGAAAAAATTCTATTCAAAAAATTTTTTAGAGAAAAATCATCGAAGAGGTGATTAAAACTTTTCCCACAGACTTGGTTCCTTGTTTGAAGTGACACATCGAATGTGTCATCCAGAACCGATGATTCAAATTCAACGATTGGACAGTTGTGTGGTGATTCCTCATGAAGTCATGGGAAAAACCCACAAGAGCTCCCCTGAAATAAAAAGGAGGGAATTCATCGTGATGACAGTTTTCCGTCATCAATAGTTCTTTAAACTGGTGTTCACACCTGATCTGTTTTGGATACTGCTCAAGCCATTGCTGATCCTCTGTCCTCTCAAGACGGACATCAACTTCCACCCCCTTCGAGTCATCAAATCTTCTTCCAAACCACTTAGCAGGCCAGCAGCCAATGATCTGCCAATTCTGAGATTCCGAAAAGGGATCAGCTTCTACTAAGGTATTTATCAACGTACGAACAATTATAAACTCTCTCTCTTGTGGTCAGGGTCGTGATTGTAATAATAAGGTTCTTATATATATATACAGTACAGAGTACAGGATGTCATATTATTAGCACCTGCTAACCATCTGTAGGTAGCTTGTAACTAATCTAGATAAATAAATGGGTATTGTTAATTATTAACTTTAACTTTGTTGTAGTGTGCACTTCTTCCATTTGTCTCTCAGGTGTCTCCATCCCGAATCCAGGCGCCTACAAACACGACTGCTCGCGTGCAACAAAAGAAATAAGTGGCCATCATGGTCTCTGTGTCTACCCAGAAGACACAGTCCTGACGAATTAGTCATCATAGTCTTCGCCAATGCGATGTCAACCCTTTGGTCCTGTGGTGCCGAAGCATAAGTGGGCGCTCTGGCATTTGTCACAAATTACAATATTAAAACTGTTAATGTATATTAAAACTATTGTTATTTCTTAGGCTGAATTAATATACTAAAGAAACAAGGCATCTAAATTTATAACAAACTGAAACTTTGCAACAATCAGTCATACAATGAAAGTAATCCAATATCCAAAAATAATAAAATGATCATTTTTAATCATTTATTTCATTAAATATTTTCTTGTAATTACATAATTGTCATTATATATTGTTGATTATATCAATATACTACAAGTTCATTTATAATAGTTTGGTATCTGTTTTTATGAGTTAATATAAAAATTTAGTATAACTTTGTTCCCCTTTTTTATCAACAAAAGAATTTAGTTTGGTATAATATATAATACAAGAATGTATAGTCTATAAAATACAATAATTTCTATATAGTTTTGATTAAAATTTGTTTAAATATTTTAATAAGTCTAACCAACAGATTTAAATTTATATAATAATTTTTTTTTACAAAAGTTTTATCAAAATCACCATTATTATTATTATTATTATTATTATAACTGTTTGTAAGATACTATTCTATTAAGGTTTTGATATTATAATATAAATTCAATCTACATGATCATAATTTAGTTAGTGCTTTCTACTAAGTTCATATAAAACTTATTTGAAAACAGTTTAGTGCATTTTGATAAAATGTTGTGCTTATCAAATACATTACAATATTTCATATTAATCTAATATCTGTACAAAAGAAAGTCATATAATTCTATAAAATATTTAAAATTTGTAAATGATTACACTTTTACATGTAATTACAAAATACTTAAAATAATTTCATTTGTATAATAATATTTAAATTATTTTAATTTAATTTTCTTGCTAGCACTTTCAATTTTAGGCCCATTCATTTCAAATGATGGAGAAAGGGAATTTAATAGTTGGTTATTTGACATGTGGCCAAATAGAACATTTAACAAAGCAACTCCATAACCAGTAGCTCTTTCACCCTATAAAATTTTAAAAACCATTCAAAATTTCAGTAAGAAATTAACTTACTATTTAATTATAAATAGATTATTGATATATTAAAAAACTGATCAAACATACACAATGAACAGATGATGCCATATCAATGTGAATCCAAACACCTTGATAATCAAAACCTAAATGTGCTCCTATGAATAATCCAGCACAGGATGGCTGTGCATTACCTCGATCCTAAAATAAAATATTTCTTTATTACACTTAATTATTAATTATAAATATTAATTTAATATTTCATAAATACATTAATTAAATCAAAAAACAACACCTTAATTTTCTGAGAAAAAAAATTTAATGTAAAGCTAACGTTTTCAGCCAAATCAGTTGGCCATCGTCAGGCTAAGAACATTCGAATATAAATAAAATAGAACAAAAATTTAAATACAAATAAAATAAAATAACGAGCGAAATATATATATAAATGTATACAGACTAATAAAATAAATAAAAATTATTGTTACAAATAACAAAAAATGTATACGAAAAAATAAGCATAGGTTAACTAAATATTAAAACGTTATATAGAAATTCAGTGAAATGCACTTTATGCGAAAAAATATTAAAATCGCCGCAATAAATTAAGATTTGTCCAATCGTTTGATAAAGTATTTCCAGGCCGAAGGCAACCCTTCAGAATCTCTAGAATTGATGCATGAATCATGCAATTTGCTTTTATATATTTCAATTTTTTCTGCGCAATTCGCCAATGTCGGTGAATGTACCGATTTAATAATTTCTGCTTCGTCCCATTTGACGATTGAGCCTTCAACTTGCGCCATTTGCGATAGTATAGTGGCACTAGATCCCTTGCTGATGTTATACTTATGCTCTTTTATTCTGACTCCTAAACTTCTATTAGTGACACCAATATAATTTTTATTGATGTC